CGACCCCGCCCCCGGCCCGCGGTCCCATCAGGCCGCGCGCTGCGAGGGAGCCAGTGGCGGGGTCCGGGAGGCGTGGCTTCATTTCTGGAGGGCGGGGCCCTGGAGGAGGCGTGGTTTGATTTCGGGGGGCGGGGCCCGGGGCGGGGCTTGCTTCGTGGCGGGCTGAACCGCAGGGCGCGCGCAGGGCGGGCTGGAGCGCTGGGCGGGCGCAGTCAGTCCCCGGCGCCCCGACCTGCTGACTCCCGGCGCCATGACCCCGCCGTCGCCGGACGTCGAATCAGACGACTGTCTCCCCGAGTACCGCCACCTCTTCTGCCCGGACCTGCTCCGGTGAGCGCCTGGGGGCCGGGGCCGGGCAGGCCGCCCGCGGGGACGGGGTGGGGGGCGCTGGCCACGGCTGGGGCCTGAACTCTGCCCCTGGTCCGCTTGGGGTTTTGTGGCTAGCCCAAGAGTGTCCTGCGGGCTGGCGTCGCCTTGGGAGCGGTGAGGGCCCGCGGGAGGAAGCGTTTGGAAATCAGGTGCCTCTTGATGACCTTCCTCAGAGCTGTGTGCACAGCAGCGTTTTCGGGCGCCGAGGCTTGGCACCGGTTGATACTGACCTTTGTAAATAGCTCCCCCCCCTCCCCGCCAGTCCTGGGAACTCAGCTTCCTGTGCTCAAGCGCTCTACCACTGAGCCACATCCTCAGCCCCCTTTTTTTTCTTGTTCTAGGGACAAAGTGGCCTTTATCACAGGTGGTGGTTCTGGGATTGGGTTCCGGATTGCTGAGATTTTCATGAGGTGAGCACTGTTTGGAAGTCCTTCCTGTCCTTCACCTCTGAAATGTTGCTGGTTCTTGGAGACGCTGACCCAGGGCCTCCTGAGGCCTCACACCACTGGAGACAGGATGGACCATGTCAGACTCACAAACTGTCTCTTGGTCACACGTTCTGTGGCCAGGTCAGGGACACCAACACCACCCAGTTGTCAGAATGAGTGTGGGAAGAAAGGCCCTTCTCCAGGGCCCCTCATGAATCCTACCCCCTGGAAGAGACTTTAAGGCTCAGCCTTGCAGGTGGGCTGATCGACTTTAAGGCTCAGCCTTGCAGGTGGACTGATCTTCCAGGCTGGTGACTTAGTGCTTGTGAACTTCTTAGCCTAAGTCCGTCGGCGCTCAGGGTCTTTCTGCATGTTATATGATATGCCCCAGTTCCTTTGAACCTGTTTAAATGGGTGGTAACCCCATTGTCACCATGGGACTGAGTTTCTCCAGAGACGGTGTTGGAGCATGCCTGCTTCAGAAATAAGATCTCTGTGCTTTCCTCCACAACCCACCCCAGTGAGGGAGTTTGCACCAGGGGACCGACATGGGTGTCTAGACCTGGTGGCCTTTTCCATGGCCATGGTATTTGGGGCAAAATATCCCAACTCAGAAACCCAGCAGTGAGCAACCCTACCATCCAGCTGAGGTCCCTGCAGAAGTACTCAGTCCGGCTCAACCCCTGTGCCCTCTGCCGGCCAGGCTTTAGTCCTTGAGCCCTACCCCTGCCTGAGCACCTTGGGAGGAGGAGTGCACCGCTGTGCTGCTGTCCCTCTCTGACCTGTCTTTGGTTTTGCAGGCATGGCTGCCACACAGTCCTTGCCAGCAGGAGCTTCCCGAGAGTGTCCACGGTGAGAGGGCTTCTGTGAGCCTGGGCTGTTGAGGGAGGGGGTAGTGTCCTTAGGTCCAGGGAATGGTAACACTAAGCCTTGTTTGCTCTCAAATGTGGAGTCTCTGAAGTGGCCTCTGCTCAGAGTCCAGGCAGTGGGCCTGTGAGGTCCCAGGCTGGGAGGCAGCCTGGCCTCAGGAGAGCTCCCTGGGCTCGCCAGCATTATCAGGGTCATCACCTGCCCCCGGGGAGGATAGCTGGGCCTGGGAGGAGGTCTCACCGCCCTGCCTCTGGTCTTCAGCTGAGGGCAGAAGCCAGTGGGGGGCTGGGAATGAGGCTCGGAGGGAGAGCACTTGCCTGCCTGACATACGTGGAGCCCTGGGTTCAATTCCTCAGTACCACATGCACAGAAAAAGCCAGAAGTGGTGCTGTGGCTCAAGTGGTAGAGTGCTAGCCTTGAGCAAAAGAAGCAAAAGAAGCTCAGGGACCTTGCCCAGGCCCTGAGTTCAAGCCCCAGGACTAGCAAAAAAAAAAAAAAAAGCCAGCTGGGAGCTCTGTTGTCCAGGGATGATAGGATGATGTAAAGGGAGAGTTGTGGGACAAGTTTCAAATGGCGGAGGGCACGGGTATCTTACCAAGATTCATCAGGTGTGTGCCCCAGGGATTGACCACTTTTAGGCTTTATCTTCTCAGAGTGGTGTGTAGCAGCAAACCTGGGTCCCAAACAGAGTAAGCCTTCCCTGGCCTCCAGCTGGGGGAGACCCTGAGGCCTAGAGCCTCAGATCTCTGATGTCTACGGCCTTCGCGGGGCAGCATGCCATTGCTCTCCACGTTCCAGCAATGAAGTCACTAGTGCTCCCAGTATCAAAGGTGTTTTCATTTGTTTGGTTTTGGGGGAGGTACAGGGATGAACTCAGGGCCATACGGACTTGGTAGGCAATGGTTTACCAGTTGGGCCACACCGCTAGTCCCCACATCAATTTCTGGAACCTGCTTCTCTGTGCTGAGGCTGCTGGACTGTGCCAGGTTTCTTTCTGTTCGGTGTCTAGGCTGCTGAGAAGCTGGCAGCTGCTACTGGCCAGCAGTGCCTCCCTCTGTCGATGGATGTTCGTTCCCCCCCAGCTGTAATGGTTGCCGTGGACCAGGCACTGAAGAAATTTGGCAAAATTGATATCCTTATTAACTGTGAGTCATGTTGAATGGGGCCATAAACTTAGAACAAGCTGGAGGTGCTATCTGGAGGCACTGAAGCTCTTGTCCTAGGCTAGGGAGCATATCAGAGAGCCTAGCTGCCTGCCCTAGGTCCAGCTACAGCCCCTTCATCTTCCTGAAGCAAAGCCTAGGCTGTCGGCCTCGGACCTGAAACTCATCATTTGTTTTTTTAGGTAAGGGGTCAGCACAGCTTCAGCTCATGTAGATGCCTTGTGAACATGACTGCTCCAAATTTAGGAATGTCCTTGTGTCCTGGAATTTCCACTTAAAAAAAAAAGCCCGGGGCCTTGAACTCAGCACATGGTTTCTTAGCTTTTTACTCAAGGCTGGCACTCTACCATTTGAGCCATACTTCCACTTCTGGCTGGTTAGTTAGAGATAAGAGTCTCTCATATTTATCTACCAATGCTGACTTTGAACCATGGCCCTCAGGTCTCAGCCTCCTGAGTAACTAGGATTATAGGAATGAGCCATCAGCACTCGGCCTGCACTGGTTATTTTTAAGATAGGGTCTTATATTTTGCCCAGATACACTCCTGGGCCACCGTCCACCTATTTTAGGGTTCCCAATATGGCTAGAATGACAAGTATAGACCACCGTGTCCATCTTTTATTGAGATGGCATGCCCTGGACTTTTCTGCCCAGGCTATCCTGGAAGAACAACCCTCCCAATCTCAGCCTAAGTAGCTAGAATGACAAGGGCGAGCTCTTGGTGCCCAGCTCTTCTGTGCATCTCTGGGCTTTCTTTCCCTCCTTTGTTTCTCTCTTTGCTCCTCCCCTTCTTTCCTCTCTCTTGCCCTCCCCTCCTCTCTCCTCCTCTCTTCCCTCCCTCCCTCCCTCCCTCCCTCCCTCCCTCCCTTCCTTCCTGGGGATTGAACTCAGGGACCTACTTGTACCACAAGCACTCTATCACTGAGCTACTTCCCCATCTCTCACCTACATAAGGGTACCAGTCATGCATGGCATTTAGGGCTCACTCTGATTCAGTATGATCTCATCTTGATAACATCTGCAAAACTCTATTTCCAAACAAGATCACAGTCATACATAGATACCAAAGATTCGGACTTCAACTTCTTTTTTTTTTTTTGGGTCCGGTTGTGGGGCCTGAACTCTGGGCCTGGGCGCTGTCCCTCAGCTCTTTAACTCAAGGCTAGCGCTCTACCACTTGAGCCACAGTGCCACTTCTGGCTTTTTGCTTATGTGGTGCTGAGGAATCGAACCCAAGGCCTCATGCATGCAAAGCAAGCGCTCTACCACTGAGCCACCTTCCCAGCCCTTGGACTTCAACTTCTTTAGAGGATAACTTAACATCTTGTCTTATTCCTGTCAATCAGGAGTTGTCCAAGTACTGCCTACCCTGTGGGACTTGGCCTAGCCTGGGAGTCACCACCCACGCCGCATCAAGGTCCTCTTCCCAGGAGCTCAGCCCCTGAGTCCATCTTCCCAGGGTGTCAGCTCCTCTGCTGTCCACTACTCTGCAGGTGCGGCCGGGAACTTCCTGTGTCCTGCTGGCGCACTGTCCTTCAATGCCTTCAAGACTGTGGTTGACATCGACACCATCGGCACCTTCAATGTGTCTCGAGTGCTCTATGAGAAGTTCTTCCGGGTAGGTGCCAGGTGGGTCTGCTTCCGGAAGGTGCCTCCCTCCTGCTGCCTGCTTACTGCCCACCCTTTGTGTGCTGCAGGACCATGGAGGGGTGATTGTAAACATCACTGCAACCCTGTGTTTCCGTGGACAGCTGTTGCAGGTGCATGCGGGCACTGCCAAGGCAGCTGTGGGTATGGACACCCCTTTGGCCTGGTCTTTCCCGACCATCCCTGGAGGCCCGCAGTCTCCTGGAGGCTGAGTCTAGCTGTGGGCAGCAGAGGGGCCTGGCCTTGGCCTTCAGCCCCCTCTGGCCGCAGAGCCACCTCAGGAGGCAGAGCCTCCTACCTGCCTTTCTTCCACCCAGATGCTATGACACGGCACTTGGCTGTGGAGTGGGGTCCCAGGAACATCCGTGTCAACAGCCTGGCCCCTGGTCCCATCAGTGGAACCGAGGGACTCCGCAGGCTGGGTAAGGAGCCTGGAATGCATCCAGAACCATGCAGGATTTGAAGAGCCCTGCCTGGCTTCTGCCGCTCAGGATTTTGGCCTCTTACTCTGTGTAGCTTGGCCCACTTTGAAGGGCTCCTGCACTGTCACTGCCTGTGGGCACTCAGGCCCCTTGTCCCACATCTCCATTACTCCATACCTGGCCACTCTTACTTGCCTTGAAGATACTAACAGTGTGGTTCAGGAGCTGCCTGGGATGGTAGGGCCCTGGGGTTCAGGGTGCATGGGGCCTGAGCCTGCTGCTGTTTCCTGGGGGCTCCCCAGGCAGGTTACATGCTCCTGGTCTCTTGAGCCCACTGAAGAGGCTGGGGAGCAAGACGGAGATCGCGCACAGTGTGCTCTACCTGGCAAGCCCCCTGGCTTCCTACGTGACCGGGACGGTGCTCGTGGTGGATGGGGGGAGCTGGATGACATTCCCAAATGACATCCGGGGGCTGGTGGAGGTTGAATCCCACGCTGCTAAGCTCTAGGTAAGGTGCTGTTCCTGCCTTTGGGGTCAGCCCTGCCAGCACCCTGCCAGGTGTGGCCCTGTGGGCAGGTCTCTGCCCTGTCTGTTTGGCCACAGCCAAGGTGCTGCCGGGGGGGGGGGGGGTAGACAGCCAGTTCTCCAGGCTGAACGGGGAGGCGAGCGAGGTAACCCTGGTCTTTTCTAGTGACCCTGAACCCTGATCCTGTTGGAGGCAGGTGCTGGAGGAATACAACTTTGTGTGTGTGTGTGTAGAACTGGAGCTTGCACTCACGGCCAGAATGTTCACTAATCTCTATTTACTATTTTGCTCAAGGATGGCATTCTACCACTTGAGCCACACCTCCATTTCTGGCTTTTTGCCAGTTTATTGGAGATCAGAGCCTCATGGACTTTCCTGCTCATCAGATTTTAGTCTCCTGAGTAGCTAGGATTATAGGCATGAGCCACGGGTACCTGGCACAACTGTTTTTTTTTTTTAAAACAGTGTCTCACTATGTAGCCTAGGCTGACTTGGAATTTGAGATCCTTCTGCTTCAACCTCCCAAGTGCTGGAATTACAAGCATGAACCACAACTGGTTTGGTATAAAACTGATAGAAAATACACGTCCAAGGCCTTCTGTCCCCCACCCTCCCGTGGCTTACAGTCAGGCCAAGCGCACTGGACCCCAACTTTGCAGCTCCACAACCTAACCCTTCCTTGAAGTGCCACACATGCCCTTTGCCCATCCCAGGTTGGGGTCACCAAGCAATAAGCCCAGCTTGCAACTTGTCCATTCAGTTGTATGAACCCCGTTCCTAGGGTTTTGCCAGAAAGTGCATTTTTCTCCAGGTGCCTGTGGCTCACGCCTGTTATCCTAAATACTCAGGAGGCTGGGATCTGTGGATCACGGTTCAAAGCTAGCCCGGGCAGGAAAGTCTGTCCTGAGACTCTTATCTCCAGTAAACCACTAGAATACCAGAAATGGACTGTGGCTCAAGTGGTAAAGCGCTAGCCTTGAGCTGAAGAGCTCAGGGTCAGCACCCAGGTCCAGAGTTCAAGACCCATGACTGACCAAAAAAAAAAGTATTTTTGCTTTTTTGTTTTTTAATTACTAGCATGGCACTGGTGGCTCACGCCTCTTATCCTAGCTACTCAGGAGGCTGAGGTCTGAGGTTTAAGGTCAGCCCGGGCAGGAAAGTCTGTGAGACTTTTATCTCCAATGAACCACCAGAAAACCAGAAGTGGTGCTGTGGCTCAAGCAATAGAGCACTGGCCTTGAGCTGAGGGGTTGAGGGACAGCGCCCAGGCCGAGTTTAAGCCCCATGACCAACCAAAAAAAAAAAATTACTACTACTATAAAATACGTATGTGTTGGGCTTTACAGAAGACTTTACAAGGAAGATGATTAAAAAGATTCACTGTGTTTCCGTCAGGGATAGAGGTCACCTCTCCAGACCCTGCGTCTGTCTCTGTAGCATCCTCTGATTCCCTAACCGGACCTGGAACCCCTCAACTTGTTTCTCAAGAAGGCAAGGTGAATCCCGCTCTGACATACTTTTTGGGGACCCCCCTCCATTGAATAAATCAGACTGGAATTTTTTCCCCACAGCAGATTAAAATATAAAATAACTTCTTGACTTATGTTTTGAATTTATGTAAAATATCAATTGCTTTAAAAGTTCTAATTCAGCTGGGTGCCAGTGGCTCATGCCTGTAATCCTACCTAATCAGGAGGCTGAGATCGGAGGATCGAGGTTCAAAGCCAGCCCGGGCAAGAATGTCTGTGAGACTCCTATTTCCAATAATCACTAGAAAACAGGAAGTGGTGCTGTAGCCCAAGTGGTAGAGCACTTGGTCTTGAGCTGAAGAGCTGAGGGACAGCACCCAGGCTGAGTTAAAGCCTCACGACCAACAAAAGTAAAAGTTCTAATTCAAATGTTCAAAAAACTCTTAAATCTAATTAACCTCCAGAAAACTGGAAGTGGCGCTGTGCCTTAAAGTACTAGAGCACTAGCTCTAAGCAAAAGAGCTTACGGACAGTGCCCAGGCCCATAGCTTAAGCCCTAAGACTGACAAAAACTGAACCAAAAGCCAGTGGCTCATGCCTGTAGTCCTAGCTACTCAGGAGCTCTGAGGATCAAGGTTGAAAGCCAGCTCAAAAGCTGCTGAAATTTTTTTTTTTTGTCAGTCATGGGGCTTGAACTCTGGGCTTGGGCACTGTCCCAGTGCTCTTCAGCTCAGGGCCAGTGCTCTACTGCTTGAGCCACAGCGGCACTTCCGGCTTTTTCCTTTTTGCTTATGTGGTGCTGAGGAATCAAACCCAGGGCCTCATGTATGCAAGGCAAGCACTCTACCCCTGAGCCACAGCACCACTTCTGGTTTTCTTGTGGTTCATTGGAGATAAGAATCTCGGGGAGGGGCTGGGAAGGTGGCTCAGTGGTAGAGCGCTTGCCTTGCATGCCTGAGGCCCTGGATTCCTCAGTACCACATAAGCAAAAAGAAAAAAGCCGGAAGTGGCTCTGTGGCTCAAGTGATAGAGCGCTAGCCTTGAGCTGAAGAGCTGAGGGACAGCGCCCAGGCCCAGAGTTCAGGAACCACAACCAGAACCAAAAAAAAAAAGTCTCAGGGACTTCTCTGCCCAGGCTGGCTTTGAATGGCGATCCTCATCCTCTGCCTCCTGAGTAGCTAGGACACTGATGCCTGGCTTAAAAATAGTAGTTTTTAATAGCATACATTAGTTATGCATGGATGTATTTCTTATTCACTAAATTATTATTGTCTCTCTACTCTTCCCCTCTGTGGTATGTGGCTCTGAATCAAACCAAACGGAGGACTCTAGGCATGCTAGGCAAGCACTACCGCTGAGCCGCATCCCCAGCTCAATGTTCTCATTGTTTTTCTTTCCCCATGTATATACAGATGTGTTTCTTTGTGATATATATATATATATATATATATATATTTTTTTTTTTTTTTTGTCGGTTGTGGGGCCTGAACTCTGGGCCTGGGCGCTGTCCCTCAGCTCAAGGCTAGCGTTCTACCACTTGAGCCACAGAGCCACTTCCAGCTTTTTCTGCTTATGTGGTGCTGAGGAATGGAACCCAGGGCCTCATGTATGCAAGGCAAGCGCTCTACCCCTGAGCCACTTCCCCAGCCCTTTTTGTGATATTCTTATGCATGCACACATTGTATCTCATCAACCTCACCCCTTCTATCACTGTACCTTTTTCTTTGTTATTTTTTTTTTTGGGTCCAGTCGTGGGGCCTGAACTCTGGGCCTGGGTGCTGTCCCTCAGCTCTTCAGCTCAAGGTTAGCGCTCTACCACTTGAGCCACAGCACCACTTCCGGCTTTTTTCTTTTTTGCTTATGTGGTGCTGAGGAATTGAACTCAGGGCCTCAAGCGTGTAAGGCAAGCGCTCTACCGCTGAGCCACCTTCCCAGCCCCCTTTGTTTTTTTTTTTTTTATGCCAGTCCTAGGGCTTGAACTCAAGGTCTGTGCACTGTCCCTGAAAATCGAGATCCTCAGATCACAGCCTCCTGAGTAGCTACGATTATAGTCATGATCCACCAGCACCTGGCTCAATTTTTTTTTTTTTTTGGCAGTTGTGAGGCTTGAACTCAGGACCAGGGCACTGTCCCTGAGGCTCCTTTTGCTCAAGCCTAGCATTCTACCCCTTTGAGCCACAGTGCCACTTCTGGGTTTCTGTTTGTTTGTTTTGCTAGTCCTGGAGCTTGAACACAGGGCCTGGGCACTGTCCCTGAGCTTCTTTTACTCAAGGTAGCACTCTACCACTTGAGCCCAGCACCAATTCTGGCTTTTTCTGTGTAAGTGGTACTGAGGTACTGAACCCAGGGCTTTTTATGCATGCGAGGCAAGCACTCTACCACTGAGCCACATTCCCAGGCCCCAATACTTCTGGTTTTCTAGTGGTTAATTGGAAGTAAGTAAGAGTTTCATGGACTTTCCTGCTTGGGTTGGCTTTGAACAATGATCCTCAGATCTCAGCCTCCTGAGTAATCCTAGCTACTGTGGAGTGTGAGCCACCAGCTCCTAGCCATGGCTCATTAAAAAAAAAAAAGAAAACACAAATGTACCTTTAAATAGTTGTAGAAAGGGGTTTCAATTTAACAAATCAGCCAGCTTCCTCCCCCCTCCCCCCACCAGTCATGGGGCTTAAACTCTGGGCCTGGGTGCTATCCCTCAGCTCTTCAGCTCAAGGTGAGCTACAGCACCACTGCTGGTTTTCTAGTGGTTAATTGGAGATAAGAATCTCACAGGCTTTCCTGCCCTGGCTGGCTTTGAACCACGATCCTCAGATCTCAGCCTCCTGAGTAGCTAAGATTACAGGTGTAAGCCACTGGTGCCTGGCAGCCAGCTTGTCTTTTGAGATAGAATCTTGATTATTTTTTAAAAATTATTATTATTGCCTGGATGGCCTAGAATCACGATGGTCCCATCTCCACTTATGGCGTAACTGAGGTTACAGGTATATACAACCCTACTTGGCCCAGATGCACATTGCATGCTGTGTTTGTTGAATGAAAACAGTCAACAAATCTCAACTTATTTACTCTGATGAGAGCCACACAGGTGATCTTTGAGATGCCACAGCATCTCAGTGTGATCATTTTTGTCTATATAGAAAGCAAACCTTAAAATGGCACTCCCCTCCCCCCGCCAAAAAAAACCCCAAAAACCCACAAGTGCTAACTTGGCTGACTTCTGTTGCCATGGTAACCTGGAGCAGCCTGACTCTGGTATGCTTCCCTACCAGCCCTGGCGCCAATGCCCACTTGCCACCTGCCAGAACCCCACTTGGTTTTCCCAGGCTTGGTGTCCATCTGGCCTTCCCAGCTTGGAGAGCTGTGTGGTCCAAGTCGCTGGCTCCGAGGAGTCAGGCTGAGGGTGACCTCACCTGTTCCCCTACCAAGAAGGCAGTGTCTGCATCAAGTATGGGAACCCGCAGCGAAGGGGCAGACCTGTGGGCTGGGGAGGTTTGCTGGGGTTCCCAGAGGCCACAGCTTCCCGTTGTCTGTCTGCCTGTGACCACACAAGCCGATGACCGAGTGGAAGCAGGGGGTGTGTGACAGCATGAGACCTGGAGAGCCTGATCAGCTGTGATATTTTGAGGCCAGCAGATATTCCTCAGTTCTCTGTCCTCTGCATCGTTTTGTCCTTATCCTACAGGACAGAGCAAGCCAGCCCTGCGGCGGTCAAGCCCTGGAATGTGTGTCTAGGCATACGTCTAGGCAGGGGTGAGCAGCATCTTGTCTGCTCTGGCTCTGTGCCAAGGCTGGGCACACGCAGGGGGGCAGGACCATCCTTCTGGGACAGCAGACAGGTAGACTTCAGGTGAGGAATTCCCAGGCTGCACTGGGGCACTTCCCCCAGCTCTGGGATACAAGTGGCTACTGGGATGTTTCTTTTGGACATATTGGGTAGGAGTCCTGCCCTCTGCACCCCTGGAGGACCCTAGGTCCCACACAGCCTGAGTCCTCGGCGCCTGCAGCGACACTCCAGTTCCGCTGCCCCCCCCCCCCCCCCCGGCAGGCCACACCTGGCCCTGTAGAGACAGCGCTCCTTCTGTCTCCCGTTTCAATCCCGAGCAAAGGGGTGCGTTCGTCGTTTGGGTCAGATGTCTGGCTCTAGTTCAGTGAACTCATTGTCAAGAGATCTTGTGGATGGAGCAGTATTCACTGCAGCTGTGGCTGGAGAGGGGAGTTTTCTGGAAAACTGTTCACAGACCACCCCCTCTGGACCCTCCTTCACATGAGCCAGTCACTATAGTTGGATGGAGGTATAGCAAACGTGTGTGTATGTCCTGTATTCCTGTTCTCCTCTCTGGTACTAGGACCTGGGAACCCAAGAGACAATGGTAAGATGTGAGATGGCAGAAATAAAAAGATTAGCTGGGCGCTGGTGGCTCACGTCTGTAATCCTAGCTACTCAGGAGGCCGAGATCTGAGGATCACAGTTCCAAGGCAGCCAGGGCAGACAAATCTGACTTTAATTAACCAACAAAAATCTGAAAGTGGAGGTGTAGCTCAAGTGATAGAGTACCAGTCTTGAGTAAAAAACCAAGAATGTGAGGTCTTGAGTTCAAGTGCCAGTACCAACACACACAATAAGCTGGATGCTCAATATGTTGGAAATGATCTGTACAACCTGAGGGAAGGAGAGATGGGGAGGGAAAGAGGGAGAAAAATGAGAGAAGGGGTAACAGGTTAGACAAGAAATGTAATCACGGGGCTGGGAAGGTGGCTCAGTGGTAGAGCGCTTGCCTTGCATGCATGAGGCCCTGTGATTCCTCAGCGCCACCACATAAGCAAAAAGAAAAAAGCCAGAAGTGGCACTATGGCTCAAGTGGTAAGGCACTAGCCTTGAGCTGAAGAGCTGAGGGACAGTGCTCAGGCCCAGAGTTCAGGCCCCACAACCAGACCAAAAAAAAAAAAAAAATTTAATCACTACCTTACTGTAATTGTAACCCCTCTGTACATCATCTTGACAATAAAATTTTTAAAAATATAATAAAAATCAGCTGGTTACCTGTGGCTCATGCCTAATAAGCCGAGCTACTTAGGAGGCTGAGATCTGAGGATCGATACTCTAATCTTCAATTAACCATCCA